TGGTGTCTCTCTGGAGACTAAGGTGCGTCTGATACAGGCCATGGTCTTCGCAATCACTTGTTATGCATCAGAGAGTTGGACAATGACCAAGGAGAATAGAAGGAGAATTGATGCCTTTGAGCTGTGGTGCTGGAGAAGAGTATTGAGAATACCATGGACTACTAGGAAAACAAACAGATATGTCCTGGAAAGGGTCAAACCGGGTGGCTCCTTGGAGGCGAGGATTCTGAGGCTCCGTCTAACATACTTTGGACATGTTGTGAGGAGAGACAGGTCCTTGGAGAAGGACATCATGCTTGGGAGGGTGGATGGACAGCGCAGGAGAGGAAGGCCCTCTATGAGGTGGATTGATTCAGTGACTGGGATAATCAGGATGGGAGTGTCAGAGACAGTGCGATTGGCACAGGACAGAGCGGAGTTTAGGGCTGTTGTACATAGAGGTCGCTATGAGTCGCAAGCGACTCGACGGCACATAACAACAACAACAAGAGCACAAGGAATTTTCTGCATTCCTGTATCTGAAGTAACCTAAAAGATTCAAATAGTTTTCCAAACTGTTACCCTGAGTTATGGCTAGCCAATTGAAGGTGGACAAATACCCAAACTACTGTGGATGGCCAATCATGGCGTATATGGTTGGGCAGGGGAGTAGCAGAGGTATAAAAAGAGGGGCAGACATCAATTCGGGGCTCTCGGGTGGATGCTGCTGTGTCAGCACGCGGGAGCCTGGGTTCGAACTCGAAATAAACTTTGTTAATTCAGCTAACTGGCTCGGTGATCTTTTTGGGGACTCGCTCTGTTACATTATGCAGCATTGAAAAACAAGGAACTCATGAAATATTATGCAACATGGATGACCCTCGAGGACATTATGCTGAGTGAAATATCTCAGTCATAAAAGGATAAATATTGCATAGGGCCACTTGTGTAAAACAGGACTGACATCGGGGTTGAGGGAAGACAGAGAAGGAGGGGAGAAATGATGTATACTGCATTGAAACAGATGAGGGAGAGAACTGTTTAAAGGAGATATGTGATTGAAGTATTATTGTCATTACAGGAATCAAGAATGAAGGCTGTACAGTGGAGTGTACTTGAGGGGAGAGACTGCATAACAACAAAAGAGTTTTTCTTTTACTTTTCAAGAAGAATGAATTGGGGGGAGGGGTGGGCAGGGAGAAAAGTGCAACAATGAATGACTGGAAACCCTAAGTCTCTGTAAATTTTCATTACAATTAATAATAATAAAAAAAGAAGTACAATCAGAATGTTCCTCAGACGTAAGGGTGGTGAGACTTCGTCTCATGTACTTTGGACACATAACCAGGAGGGACTAGACCCTGGAGAAGGACTTCATGCCTTCATGCTTGGCAAGGATGAGGATCAATGAAAAAGAGGTAGATCTGCAAGGAGATGGGTGGAGGCAGAGGCTACAACAATGGGCATAAGCATGGCAGAGACTGACAGCGGTGCAGGACTGACTTGATGGCACTAACAATGACAACAAAGATTAAGTCTACTTAAAATGTGAAACACCATCAGGGAACACATTTCTTTGCACAGAACTGGAGCCCAGAAGCCCCACTTCCTTCCACCTCTGCCCATTATTACCCACTTACCCATTCTTGTTCAGGATATGTTTGATGTCTGAGTGGCACTTGGAGCCACTGTTGGATAACGCTTCAATGAGGAGAGAAGAGCCACCAGGACCCCGACCTTCGTACAGCAAGTGAACATCCTTGGTTTTCTACAATGAACAGTACAAACAGATTTCTCCCAGTTCCTTTGACATGCCAGCTCGACATGTTGCTGTTGTTAGGAGTCATCTAGTTAACTCTAATTTACAATCACTCCATTTACAACAAAACCAAACCTTGCCCAATCCTGTGCCATAGTCACAGTCTCCACTGTGCCCAAGACTATCAGTAGAGACTCTGTGTCAATTCATCTCATTGAGGATCTTCCTCTCCTTCTCTGTCCCTCTGCCCAGAACTATAGGTAAAACAGAGTTGATTCCCTGAATGGGTTCTCTGGCTAAGCTGACACCTGGCCCTCTTAAGTCTCCATTTTTGTTCCTGCCCTCTGAGATGAGGCCCTTGGGACCAAGGGTGGAGGTCATTCAAGTACAATAACCCCTCACTGGGAAGTCATTCTTATGTCTCTGGTTCTGGTGAAACAAAAAAAAGACTCCCAGCTTTGCTTTTTCCTCTACCCAGGTGAACCCTATATCTGCCTCCTAGGTACCCTTACTAAGATTTCTCCTTCCTAAAACTTCTCTAGCAGGAACTCCACTTGAGAAAGTGTCAGCTCTACTGCCATCTATTCATCTATCTGCTTGGCTCCTACCCCTTGCCTACTGAGTAGTGCCATGGGAAAAATCACATACCTGGGCTTTATCCTAAGTGCTGGTGACCATAACATGGTTGCAGAATTCAGATTAATCAAAGACTCTGCTGGCAGAGCTCATTTTGTCCCTCCACGCTTTGTCCACGCATCTGGACACTCTCCACAAACACCCTGCCCTGCTGTCTTCCCAAGAATTCTCATTGATGACATCTCCCTTCCTCTTTCACAAAGGAAATAAAGGGCCCTCAGGCAAGAGACATTTCTCTTCCTGTCTCCACCACCTTATCTGCACATGGAGATTAGCGCATAGGTTCTGGACTTTGTCTAGTTTCAAGTCTGTCCTTTTCCTGTGACCCTGGACAAGTCACCTAACTTTACTGTGTAAATAAACCACTTCAAATTGTTTGGCAGAGCAAGATAATACATGAAGAGAGATTATCAATGTGCTCAGCTCAGAATAAGCACTTGGTAAGAGTTACCTATTAAGATAATTCATTCCTAAGATTCTAATTGTCCCAAAAGAAGAGGAATCCTCTCATATGGCTTCAAAAACAATGCCCACACCTGGAATGTACATCCCTGCCCTTCTAACCATTACCAGTGTCTACACTCTTGACTTTTCTAACTATTCTCCTTCAGAGTATACATAGCTGAAAACAAAAAACAAATCCTTTCCCATACTGTGCCCTTTCTTCTAGACCATCTCCTGCCAATAGAATGAATAGTCCTCAGCTAATGGCCCTGGATACTCTCTATTAATCTCATTATTCCTAACTGCATTCGTATGTCCAATAGACAAAGACATAGAACCCCTATGCTCAGAGTGTCAACCTCCTTGCTACCTTTCTCTGTGATAATTTAAGGCGTGTTTGCCAGCCTTCCAGACAGAGACCCTGTGAGGGCTAAGATCAATAATAAGAATGCCAATCTAAGGATATACCTCCGTTTTCAGTGCTGCCTCAATCGTTGACTTGGGCATATGCTTGCTTCGACACACTTCCAAGATGTTGGCTAGGGTGCTGTTGTGCTCAGGGTTGGGACCTCCCTCTGAGACAGAGAGAAAAGAATGAAGAAAAGCATCTCATTACAAAGCAAAGAAGGAAAAAAAGGTATTTTGAGTCACCTCTTTCACATACCTCTCCCACAAGGAGCTCTAGTAAGCATAATAGTTAAATACTTGGCTGCTAACCAAAAGGATCCCACCAGGACAGATGGTAGATGGGAAATGGTGTGGCAGTTTGTTTCCATTAAGACTGCAACTCTGGGAAAGACATGGGCAATTCTACTTTGTCTTATTGGGTTGCTATGATTGGAACTGACTACATGGCAACAAGTTTAGTGCTGGTTTTCGGTTTACTCAAACCCTCCAGTAAAAAGCATGAAAATCATGCTTGATTCGGCAGCACATATACTAAAATTGGAACAATACAGAGAAGATTAGCATGGCCCCTGCACAAGGAAGACACACAAATTCGTGAGGCATTCCATATTTTTGGGGGTGGGCAGGGAGAAAAGTACAACAATGAATGAATGGAAATCCAAAATTTCTGTAAATGTTCATTAAAATTAATAAAATTAAATTTGAAAAAAGCATGGAAATAACAATATTCTCTTTCGGTCACATCAGAGTGTTGTTGAGTATTTGAGTGGGATAGTATTTTGGGAAAGTTTCTAATTTACTCTGCATGTCTCTCTGTTAGGTTTCAGCAAACAATATTTTGGTTTTAGGTAAAGAAGAAAGATAAAAAAGAAGATGTTACTAATGTCTCTTTGACTTCTTAATATCCCCGGCTCTGACACTACTCTTTGTGTATAATTACTGAACTGTTCCCACAATGTTCTAGTCATGCTCACTGTATCTAAGGACAAGGCTGACTTTCTTTGCCTTTGGATTATCAGTGACTGGCACACAAATACTCAATTCAACATCAAGAATTTAAAATAAAGTTAAATATCAGGCATGAGTTTTAAAAGTAAATTAACATTTGAAGAAGGAATGGTAGTTGGAAAACGTGGGCTTGGTGATAGAAATGAGCCTGGAAATAAAATTATTGAGTTCTGTATTTAAAAAAAAAGTAAATTAACATCTGGTAACAACTTATTATGGGCCAAAAACTACCTCAGGGTGGAAATTTGCTTCACAGATGAGACAGAAATACAGCCAGGTTAAGCAACTTTCTTGAGGGGACAGAAACCAAGTCTTCTCCCTCCAAAGCCCATTTTTTTCACAAGACTTTTCCTCAGTCATACAGGTTATCTGACTCTAAACACAAAACCAAACACCACCATTTTTTTACAGTAACCACATAACTGTGAAAAGACATAGGAGCAAATGTATATTCCCAGGAAACTGCTGTGAGGCAAATTAGGGTCTCGACAAGTAATAGCTTTACTCAATGTTCCTGCCCCAGTCCACATGCTATCAGAGGAGGCTGCAGAGGACACCTCGGACCTGACTCCTTGGATCTGCTTCTATGAAATACTAGTTACAGACTAGGATGAAGTCTTACCATCCTGCCAGCAGTTCACTCTCTAAAATCTGGCAGAGGGTTAGTCTGAAAAGGTAAGTGGTAACAGTCCGTGTAAGTAGGTGTTTTGAGGGTCTATGAAGTAGGCAGCGATGGATATTGGGAAAAGAAAAGAGAACAGTGGTTGGTAAACGGTGAACAAGTCCTGGTGATGCAGTGATTAAGTCTTCTGCGGCTGATGAAAAGGGTGACTTTTCAAACTCATCAACTGCTCTTAAGGAGAAAGATGAGGTAAAATGCTTTCATACAGATGTGAAACCTTGGAAGCTGTATGGGACAGTTCTATCCTACCCTGTAGGGTCGCTATCATCAGAAAAGAACCGCTATGAATCAGAAAAGGGCTAAGTTTTCTTTTGCCTTTTTGAACTGACTGAGCCCCAACCCTACTGCAGGAGGCAGGTCCTGGGGCATGGAGAGGGAGAGGGAAGCCGTGACCAGTGCCCACTTTGAACATACCTTTAACTGCCAAGCGAATGCTCAGTGAGAGCTTGGAGAAGACGCGACTCCTTTCGGTGTCCTTGGGACCCTTAATATGCCGGACTTTGGACCACTTGTTGTGCCCTGCGAGGACGGCCGCTGTGAGGTGAAGCGTCCTGCCCAGAGCGGGGCAAACGCTCGGGGACTCATACTGATGGGGCGAGAGGATCCGCGGAGAAGCTGTCAGGATCCTGGGGCCTCGACCCCGCAAGCAACTGACAGCTACCCTGCCAAGGCTTTTGGCAGCCCAGACTGCCATAGTTCGCGACCTTGAGCTGCAAAGTTCCAATGAAAGTGGCTAAAGCCTGCTGGCTCAGAGCCCACTGCTGCCTCGGCAAGTGATCGGAAAACCTAAGGTTTAGGTTTGCTTGCGACACCTAGACCACAACTAACTGAGCACCATACCAGCGGCAGCTTGCTCTGGGGACCCTAGAGGGCGTAACACACTTCCTTTTCCTGGTCCGCTGTAAAATCACGTCCCCGCGGCCAGCGAAGTTCGTTCCGCTGTCACACGAATTTCGTTCCTCCCCATCTCAGCACAGAGACCCAGCCGTGGAGTAAGGACTGCGGGCTCAAACCTCCCTGCTTCCTGGGGGGGTCCTGGACGCTATTTCCAACAATGATCATACTAGATTCCCCACAGTGATCTAGTATGAGTTTATGTTGCAACTTTAATCTGAGTTCTAAAACGGATATTGCTTCCAGACTACTTTCCAACATTGAGCAAGTTCAAAATGATGTTTTTGTTGCCAAGGAATAACAAATTCAGTCTTCTTATTGTACAGGTAAAGAAACCACTGCCCACAGATGTAGTTTACCCTCTTCTCGCTCTGCATGTGCCCAATCGTTTAGTGGTTCTGAACTTTCTCTTACCTATCTGTATGTAAGGACGCTGCTATTTACCATCAATCACAAGAATTGTAAATAAAACAGAAGTCTTGGGCACTTTAAGGTAATAAAGTCGTATGTGATTACAGCATAGTTTTTCCTTGAAGATTCAGCTTAGGCATCATTTCCATGAAAGGAAAGCATTTTCAAATTATCTGACTGCGCTTATGCTCTACCCAGTGGTCACATAAACCGTCGTGTATGTGCGTTGTTGATGGGTGCTATGGAGTAGACTATAACTCATTGCGACCCTATGTACAACAGCTTTAAACCTTGCCCTGTTTCCACATTGTCCTAACAATCTCTCATATGCTCAAACGCACTGCTGCAGTCACTGTGTCAATCCATCTTGTTGAGGGTCTTCCTCTGTTTTGCTGACCTTTCCCAGCATGCTATCTTTTTCTAAGGACTGGCCCCTCTTAACAACATGTCCAAAGTATATGAGGCGAAGTTATATCATCTTTGCCTTTAAGGAGCACCCTGGTTACACTTCTTCCAAGACAGATTTGTTTGTTCTTTGGCAGTCCATACTATGTTCTATATTCATCACCAACACAATTCAAAGGCATTAATTTTTCTCCTGTCATCTTTATTCATTATCCAACTTTAAGATGCACAGGAAAAACTGAAAACGCCATGGCTTGGATGAGGCACACTTTAAACTGCCATCCTTGCTCTTCAGCACTTGGAGAGGTCCTTAGCAGCAGATTTTTCCAATGTAGAATGTTTTTTTTTATTTTTTTGACTGCTGTTACCAGGGGTGTTGACTGTGAATTCAAGTAAAACTAAATGATTGACAATTCCATTCTTTTCTTCAACTATCATAATGCTGCCTATTGGTCCAGGTTTTTCGTTTCCTTAATGTTAAGGTATAATCCATATTGAGACGGGGGAGGGAAATGGTGAGGATAGGTGGGGTGAGACCACAAGGCTGCACAGTTTGATGGGTGGAGGGAGAGGGAAAGAAAATGGGATCTGGGTAAGAAGACAATAATGATGGACAAGGTCTAGTGATGATTTATTTTATAAAACACAACGTATGAGAATGATTCTATAAAACACCTGTGAATGAATAGTATATATCACTTTGTAAGCAAACCAATTAAAAAATGTAATGTAGAATAGAATGTTTGATTGTATGAAACAATGTATATGAAGAAATGAATAATAAATTTATTTATAAATAATATAAAAAAGATAATCCATATGAAGGCTGTGACTCACAGCAACCCTATGTACAACAGCCCTTAACCCTGCTCTATTCTGTACCAATCTTATTGTCTCTGATACACCTACCCTCATTACCCCAGTCACTGAATCAATCCATCTCAAGGGTCTTCCTCTCCTGTGCTGTCCCTCCACCCTCCCAAGCATGACGTCCCTCTCCAAGGACTGATCCCACCTTGCAACACGTCCAAAGTATGTCAGATGAAGCTTCAGAATCCTTGCCTCCAAGGAGCAGCATGGCTACACCCTCTCCAGGACAAACCTGTTTGTTCTCCTAGCAGTCCATGGTATATTCAACTCTTCTCCAGCACCGTAACTCAAAGGCATCAGTTCTCCTATCATCCCTAGTCACTGTCCAGCTTTCTGATGCATAGCAAGCTGTTTACCTAGGATGGGAATTAAGTCTGCTTCTCCATGTCATTGTGGCTGATATCCTCCAAGCAAGAATGTAATGCTTTAGACAGAAGCCAGTGACTCTGTTAGTGAAAAAGAACAACTCAGAAAAAGGACAGCAGAGTGGTCACACAACTCAAAGAATGTAACCAATGCCACCGAACTGTACAGGTTGCTGTTGATTGTCTTCGAGTTGAGCATGACTCATAGTGACCCTGTAAACAAAAGGCCTTGAAGCCTTTCTGTAACCATTGATATTTATCAAAGTTCAAAGGTGTTAAACTGGTGTTTGGTAGCCTAGTTGTAAAGAGTTGCACTGCAAACTCAAAGACAGGCAGTTTGGCTCCACCAGTTCCAGTCTCTAAAAGCTTGCTGGAAGGTCAGAAGTGTGTCAGTTCCAACTCAAAAGCAATGAATGCAGGCTACAGTTTAGTACTGTGCCTAAATGTATCCCTACTAGTGCATACACACCAAGGATTTGCCCACATGGATGTCTCCTGCAACAGCAAGCAGACACAGCCCCTGTATAAGCAGCTGCTCTGGGCTTTGAACACTCACACAGGAGCTAACGTGCAATGAGCTGGCTTGTCACTAGTGTGAAAGGCTGGGGAAGCATCTAACCCCTTTACACTGGTGATGAGATTTTTCTGTCTCCAGAACATGACTACAATGGCAACATGGGAAGAACAGAATTGATCACAAGAAGAAATTCAATCTATACATGTTCAAGTTTTATTACAAAGTATGATGGGCAGAAAATACGGTACTTCTTATACAGGAGGCTGAAACAGAATGAAAGGGTGAAAATTAGGTTTAATGTACTTAGGAAGCAAGAAATCCAGTCATAGCTCTAACACTCCACATTCAGGTGCTCTCAAGTAACCCTCAATGGAGATTCCCCAGCATGGTTTCACAGCACAGTGTTAAATCTTTATTACAAGCCCTGTCTGTGTACAATCAGTTCTGTGAAAATACTCAAAAAATAAAACGGTTACAGTACAGTTCTGCAAGGGGCAGCTTCCTCTCCACTGACCGCGGGATGCCAAAAGACCTATAGTAGTGCATGGAAGTTTTACTATATAACAAGAAAGTAAGTTCAGACACATGAGGCTACTGGGTCAGAAACTCAACAGCTAGAGCTCAACATTTCGGAGAACAAGAAATGTCCATTTTCTACATGGGGGTTTTTACAATCATGCTACAAATTCACACTCAGAGGGAAGGGAACTCATTGACAGAATGGGTCATAAAATATACAAGACCCAAAGAAAAGGATTCATACGGGACAAGAGCAATTCAGAGCTTCATCTCGGCGAGTTTCATATCACACTCTATACACCACGAGCAAACCCAGGTGAGAGCATTTAAATTGCAGATAGCACAAGTTCATAGACACCAGGTTGTCCCAGGGAGGGTGCGTTTTCCAGCTGTTAGGCAGACTGCAAACATCTTTCTTCTTGAGTTCAAACTTGCTTTAGCTTACTTGTTTCTGGTCTGAGACACCAGTCCAAGCTTCTTTGGAAAGGTACCTGCATATTATCATATTTTAAAAACAAAACCCAGAAAGTGGCCTGAGAGGACCTGGCCCATCCCAGGAGGCCACAAATTTGACTTTGACCATCAGCAGCAATGAGAGTTGTAGGAGAAGAGGGCGCAGGCGGGTGAGGTGGGCACAGCTCTGCAACCTAAGACACTCTTGGCAGCTGGCCCAGCCAGTAGAAAAGATGACTCTGAGAGCCTGGCCCAGGGTTCACTGCAACTTTTTCTCCTGGGAGGGAAAAACCTCAATTTAAGTGCCAGGCATGGCCCTCCTTCCTCAACCTCAAGTATAGAGACAGAAAGAAGAATCTGCTTTAAGACTCTGATATCAGAAGTCTCCCTACTCCAAGTTTCCATATTCTCCAACTGAGGGAGATGGAGGGGCGGCACAGGTCCTCCCGTGTTTGTGAACCCTACAGCTCCTACATGTCTTTTTTTTTCCCTACATGTCTTATAGTCTAGGGAATCATGGCCAGGTTACTGTGGGTAGAAAGTTCTACATTATGAAGGGAAGAGAAGCTAAAGATGAAAAGAAAGAGGAAGAAGAGGAAAGTCAGCAAGGCCATTTATAAGCTCTGCTTCTTCTGTTCCATTTTTAAACTTAAAACCAAAAAGGGTCACTGGCTGGGACAGTTACAGGACTTCCAAAGTCTTGAGTTGTACCATCACCTTCAGCCACACTGCTGCAGGGAGGGGCTGCTGCCCTGTTGCCAGTTACCCAGGATCATGGGTGACCAGTTAATGGTTCAGGATGGCCAGCCCAGGCCGAGGGGAGTGTCCCTTCACAGCCAGGCAGTGGAAGGTAGGAAGGCTTCCTCACTGCATACTTTACTGCAGCAGACCTTTTGAGGTAAAGAAGCACCTAGCATTGATCACGTCTTAACTGACCACATCCTAAATCATGTCCTCAAAAATAAGTCATGGTTACTAACTAAATCTTGTAGGATTCTCTTTTGCATTTTTTCTGGCTTTTCCCAAATCTTAGCTAGCTTTCTGAGAGCCAACCGTGTTCTGGTGAGAAACTCTCATCAAGTGTTTTGCCTCTTCAAGATCTAATTAGAAGGCTATTAATTCCTCTCTGGAGGGAGAGGGGTTCAGACTCTGTGAAGTGCTGACACATCCCCATCCAGCAGCTCTCTAGTGGTGGAGACCCGAGGCCTAATTTACCCAGTAGCTCTGCCTTCCTCAGAGCAGACCAGGGAAAGAGAAAGT